TGTGTGTGTGTGTGTGTGTGTGTGTGTGTGTGTGTGTGTGTGTGTGTGTGCAGCTGAAAGCCCAAAACATGTGGAAATATAAAACGTGACATCATTCCGATCCGATGAATGAAAACATAAACAAGACAAACGTTTATCTTTAACCTGTTAAATTTATGAAGGTTTTTGATTTTGTGTAGTGCCTGTCTGTCTATGAAATGATTAAATTGGCCTGCCATACTTATTTCCTGCAGAGCTCGTGGTATGTCAGTGCAGCGGAATGTCACACAAGCTGACGTGATTTAAATCAACWCGAAGGACGGTCACGTGACATTCGACCAATCAGAAAGAAGAACGCATTTCCGGTGTAGCGCAGGTATAAATGGCCCCGCCTAGAAAACGGTTCCTCAGTCGCCTCTTACACAAGACTGATAAAAGTCACAGTGTGGGAGCAAACTTTAATTTCCCGCCTTCCTCATTCAGAAACTGAACTTTTTTGAGCTGCTAGAAACATGGTAAGAAAGTTTTAATTCTAACTTATCGAAACGGACTCGTGTAAATTAGTGAACAGCTTTTGAAAGTTTGTCCGGCAAATGAGCTGAATGGCAGACTGGTTTTCACTCGACGTTTTAACCTGTAATATTACCGATAATCAAACTTTTTACTCTGGTAACTTCGTCTTAAAATGATCAAACCGTGTTTTACTGTAAGTGTAGCTTTAAAAACCGAATGAAAACAACTTTTTAAGAAGTTTTCTCAACAGGCCGCAGCCAGTCACGAGTGTACTTCCGGTTTTTATTAACTATTTGATAAAGACAGCGTGGCTCTGATTCACACCGCTGATTTTTTTTACACGTGTCTAGGTTTTTGTTACTTCAGTTGTTGATTTTTAAAACAAATGTCTGTTACTTAAAAAGGAAGACTAATTAATGAACCACAGCTGTGGGATTATTCTACTGAACACARATTATCTCTGAACTAAGATTTTGTATTAATTTATTTATGCCTACACTTCTGATTATTCCAGTTAATTTTGGTGAATTTCTCATAAATCAAATGACTGTCACAATGTTGTAGTTCTAGATCCTTCCCCCTCCCTCCTCACAAAAGCCCTTTTGTACCCCCCTCCCCCCATCCTTTTACTCCTTCAGGTAAAGAGCAATAAAACAAGTCCTTTTTCTCTTCAGTGCTAGGCTTTCATAAATGCTAGATTAAAATTCAGAACTACCCAAGTCTAGCTATTATGAAAACAATTTTTTAACTTTTTGTTTCTCTCTCAGCGTGAGTGCATCTCAGTACACGTTGGTCAGGCCGGAGTCCAGATTGGCAATGCCTGCTGGGAACTTTATTGCCTGGAGCATGGAATCCAGCCGGACGGCCAGATGCCGAGTGACAAAACCATCGGAGGAGGAGATGATTCCTTCAACACTTTCTTCAGTGAAACTGGATCAGGAAAACATGTCCCCAGAGCTGTTTTTGTGGATCTGGAGCCCACTGTCATCGGTAAGCAGAGCCATATTTGTTTATATTAAACACAAAGTAGAGTGAAGTGAAATGTAGGAACCACAAGTGATTTTAAATTCCTCACCCAATCAGATGAGGTGCGCACTGGAACCTACCGGCAGCTGTTCCATCCTGAGCAGCTGATCACCGGTAAGGAGGATGCTGCCAACAACTACGCCCGTGGACACTACACCATCGGGAAGGAGATCATTGACCTGGTTCTGGAAAGGATCCGCAAACTGGTGAGTACGGTCAATTCAAAGCTCTTCAGRTTTTAATGAAGGCAGTGAAATGACTAAATGTGTTSTCTGTCCTCAGGCGGACCAGTGCACAGGTCTTCAGGGCTTCCTGGTCTTCCACAGCTTTGGTGGGGGCACTGGTTCTGGTTTCACCTCCCTGCTGATGGAGCGTCTGTCTGTGGACTACGGCAAGAAGTCCAAGCTGGAGTTCTCTGTCTACCCGGCTCCCCAGGTGTCCACTGCCGTGGTGGAGCCCTACAACGCCATCCTGACCACCCACACCACCCTGGAGCACTCGGACTGCGCCTTCATGGTGGACAACGAGGCCATCTACGACATCTGCCGCAGGAACCTGGACATCGAGCGTCCCACCTACACCAACCTGAACAGGCTGATCAGCCAGATTGTGTCCTCCATCACCGCCTCTCTTCGCTTCGACGGCGCCCTGAACGTGGACCTGACTGAGTTCCAGACCAACCTGGTGCCGTACCCTCGAATCCACTTCCCCCTGGCCACCTACGCCCCGGTCATCTCTGCTGAGAAGGCGTACCACGAGCAGCTGACCGTGTCAGARATCACCAGCGCCTGTTTCGAGCCGGCCAATCAGATGGTGAAGTGTGACCCTCGACACGGCAAGTACATGGCCTGCTGCCTGCTGTACCGYGGAGACGTGGTGCCCAAAGACGTCAACGCCGCCATCGCCAACATCAAGACCAAACGCAGCATCCAGTTTGTGGACTGGTGTCCCACCGGCTTCAAGGTTGGCATCAACTACCAGCCMCCCACYGTGGTCCCCGGTGGAGACCTGGCCAAGGTCCAGAGGGCCGTGTGCATGCTGAGCAACACCACCGCCATCGCAGAGGCCTGGGCCCGACTGGACCACAAGTTTGACCTGATGTACGCCAAGAGGGCCTTCGTCCACTGGTACGTAGGAGAGGGGATGGAGGAGGGGGAGTTCTCTGAGGCCCGGGAGGACATGGCAGCTCTGGAGAAGGATTATGAGGAGGTTGGAACCGACAGCCTGGGAGAGGAAGATGAAGATGGTGAAGAATATTAATCAGTGTAATTGCTGTACAATCTGTCAAAAATAAAATCTATACCAGCATAACATTGTGTTTTGGAGTTTTAATAAAATGTTTTTTCATTAAAGTTCACTTGAAATAAATATTCTGATTAGTCATAAATAAAGCACTGTAATCTGTACCTAACATCAGCTAAAGTCTCTTAATACATTAAATAATCACATTTCTACATATCAAGCAACACTTTAAGTGTCGGGCTGTGCTCTGCAGACAAATGTGTTAAATTTTTCCTTTAGGGATAAAATTTATGCCAATTTATTTCTATGGTCTTGGTTATATGAAACACTAACTCCAAGTAAGTCAAACTGTCCAGTTAGCCACATTTACAGTTTCTCAAGCTGTCAGCACATTCAACTTTGTTCAGATGAAAATATTCAATAAGAATATTTCATTGATTCAGATCAATGTTAGTGTTTTTCTTTCTGAGCAGTGTATTTAAATATATTAACATCTCAATAACAGACTCATGTTTGAAGAAAACTGTCACAGCAACAAATAAGCTGTGGCACCTAAGGTTAAAAACAATAATTAGAACATAGTAAAACGATGTGCAAACCACTTCGGAGAAGCACAAGTGGCAGGGCATAGAAAAGCTATTTGGATGCTGCAGTTATAGAGTCCGACCTGCAGGTGGCGGTAATGTAACTGAAGCTGTCGTAAAACGAGCATTGAAGAAACCGAAAGAAGACACGCTGCACACGCATCCAGTTTTACCGCTTAGCGCCGCACTGAAAAGGTTTAAGGTAAATAAAAACAATTCGACCTTTTTTACTCGAAGGACGTCAGTTTAATAGCTAATAATCGTTGCTGAAACTACATTTCAAACGGAACAGTAAGTTCGTGTGGATGAAAAGATGAGAAGCTGCGTCATTCGTCATTAGTTTCTTTTTGTTTAGCTAAGCTAGCATTTAGCTAAGTTATTTTAATAACGTTGTTTGTTTTAATGTTACGTACGGTACATTAAAGCCTAGCGCGCACGTGATATTTGTCTCAAAAGAGTTAGCTAAACCCGGCAGGAAACTGGATAGTTTCCTTAGCTGGATGCTAATCTTGAAAGCTCGGTGCTAGGCTAGGCTAGGCTAGCTGGGCTAATAAAGGCCTTAGATGACGAAAGGGATTATAACGATTGCAAAACACCAATTTGTTGATTATATCTTTACTCTAAACAGCGAATAACGTTTTTAGCATTGGCATGTTGGCTTCAAATTTGTAGTAAATTATAATTAAATAAGCTTTATATTGAATATACTGTAAAGCTAACAGCGTTAGCTACAGGTCGGTAATAACGTTGGTCAAACGTAAGGGTGACACGTCAGATGCTGCAGCTGAGCTGTTTTTCTCCTGGTTTTTAGGTTTTATATAATAATGATTAGTTTTTGGTGTTCTATGGTTAGAGTGTTCTTTAGAAACTCATGCCTGGAATATCTTTGTTGAAATCTGTTTACAAAACAAGTTTCAATCGGCTGAAAGAACCCGTTTAGCTAACTTATTTATAACACATTGGCTTTTGGATGAAGTCTTGGTTACATAAAAGCACACTTTGAACTCCACTACTGCAGTAAAATGTCGTAATTTTAATTTAGTGTTGGTTTCTATCAGAAAACCTTTTAGACCTAATCAAAAACAGCCAGTTTCATTAATCTAGAATCTAAATAAATACATTTAAGATATTTACTTTTTGATTTTTGTAACTATCAAATTCTAATTTTACCTAGAAATACACACAATGGGTTGTGAAATTTATGTGTAATGAAGCTTTTTAGACAAAGCTTAAAATGTATTTACTGAATGGTTAGGTTTAGTGTTTGTTTAATTGTTGTCTGTGATGTTTATCTTTATTGGTTTAAATAATTTTTATAAATTATTTTATGTATTTGCAGGTGTAGAAATCAAGGATTTGTTCCAGTTGGTATCTTTGTGGTCCAGCTGTCGCCACAATGATCACCAGAAGAAGAAGCCGCATGAACACCATAGAGGTTCAGTCCGAGGAGGTTGAGGTGGTGGATGTTGTGGGTGAAGATCTCCTGGCGCCATCTGAGGATTTCCCCGCCGATGAGTCGGATCCTGCTGGAGCTGAACTTGATGACCTGTTCGAAGACCTAAAATGGACTCTAGAAAAAGATAGTTCTTCTTCTCTCTTCGACATCGACCTAGCAGATTTCAGCGGATATGACGTCACAAACCAAAGCTCTGGTGTTGAAGTTTCGGCTGCCTCGTCTCCGGAGAGAACCATGTCGGACCTCAGGATGAAGAGCAAAGAGAACCGGTCGCACCATGTCAACAAAAACGCCATCGCTGCCAGATTGAATCGTTTAAAGAAGAAAGAATATGTCAGCAGCCTGGAGAAGCAAGTGGACGTCCTCTCGACAGAAAACGGCGTGCTCAAACGGGAGAACTCCTCGCTGACAAAACGCATGGAGGAGTTAGAAGATGAAACCAGGTATCTGAGGGCTGTGCTGGCCAATGAGAGCATGTTAGCCCAGCTCTTGTCCAGGCTGAGCGGTGTGAATGGGATGAAATTATCTTCCTCGCTTTTCCAGGGGCCAGACTCAAACGACCATGATTACGCGTTGCCCAGGAAGCGGGTGAAAGTGGCGGAGAAAGAGTCATCTGGTGGCGTGTGTCTGCACGTAGACAAGAACCACGTGTCAGTGGAGTTCTGCACAAAGTGTGCAGCGAGTGCAAGCACGGCGCTCAAAATGTAGGGTCAAGTACTTCTCTCTGTTTTTTGATTTTGAGACTGAGCTTCTGAACGGCTGCTGGGGGGGAGGAACACTGAATTAATTAAGATTACATAAGAGCCGGAGATTGTGCATGTCGTTACTTTTGTTTTGATGATGATGGGTTGAGTACACGTTACTGCTAAACCTTGTTGACAGTTTCTTCTAGGTCGCTCCACCATGCGGGATGAGTGGCTTTCTGAACACCTTTACCTGCTTGGCTCCATGGTAAGGATCAGACCAGAAGACTTTGTTTTTCTACAGGCCTCACTGCTCAGCAGCAACTGTAGTACTTTTATTTTCACACACTTGTTGGATCCAGTTATCGGATCTTGAGCATTTCGCTCAGATATTTTTGTTGTAACGATAAAACTTAGTTGGTTTTTAACATGTTAAGATGGTGATGGTCCACAAAGAGTTATTTTAAATTCTGTCCAATTGGAAACAAATTCTATTWAAAAAAAAGTCTTTTACAAATATATTTTGTTTTGCTAAGAATAGTTCTCTTTGTGAACCAACACCTCTGTACAGAAGAATACTTTCATTTAGCACCACCTATTTTTCTTTATGCTAAAGTGGATTCTGCTGATGGGAGGTGAAGAGGCTGGACACGCTGCCGCCAACGTGGCCTGGTATTTTTGTAAAGGTAGTATCGGTAACAAACGGTATATGGAATTTATATTTTACCAACATTGTGCAACACTTATAGCTGTTGATGCTGTCAGCAATTTTTTTTTTTTTTTTTTTTTACTACAGCTGCTCCTTTACTCGGAGMGACGCTGACACAGTCTCATTGTATATAGTATCTTCAGATGAAAATGTACATAAAGTTACACAAACTGCTGTCAGAGTTGATTTCCATCATGTTTAATAAAGTGTAAATGTTTAATTTTGAACACATTTTGTTTGAGGCAAATGTTTTTTGCCGATTGTCGAAGAAATAAATCACATTTACTTTCAGTTGAGTATCATATATCTGAGTCTTGTTCTGTACTGTTGATATTAATTCATCTCTTTTTCTCTCTCTGAACAGCAAGCTCTCTGCCGATAAAGGTCTAAGTTTTCCTGAACATTTGGGTCAAGTCTGGTAAAGGTTGTCAGAGCAAATGAACAAGTCCTCGTTTAATGGAAGCACACAAAGCAGGGCCGTACAGTTAACATCCTGTAAAAACAATAATAGTGTTTAAGTATGAAAATAGCAAACAAAATATAGGAAAGCCTTGGTGTCAGACTCAATAAAAGTTTAAAAAAAAAGTATAAAACTTGCTCAAACAGCAAAGCATTTTTTACATTGTGTTAAAGGTATTAAAATCAAAGACCACTCAACAAATTCATTAAAAACAAAAATCTGCACCTTGAGTTCTCTGTAATTTCCTAACCCTGGATGTTTTCAACCCTATTTCTTTTGACTCGCATGTTTTACATGTTTCCCTGCTGCAGCACATCTGACTGAAATGAAACGGTGACTGACAGGCGTCTGCTAAACCCGTTGACATTCTGATTAGGTAATTTAAATTTTTAATCAGTTCAGAAGCAGCGAAACGTCTAAAACCTGCAGGACAGTGGATCACGAGGAGCATGGTCTGCCTTTAACAATTAAAAAGCAGAATTTGTGACTGATTGCAGACTGATATTTGTTTGTTTACGCACAGAAACCTCTGAAGTAACTGAAACTAGCGTTCATTGATCTGGCCTTTTATGAAGAATTCTGACATGTTTGCACAAATTTATTAGGTTTGGGTGGTATTGTTTTGTGGTAATACCCTGGTATTGAACGTGACAGTATTTAAAAAGTATGGCCTATAAGCCCACTAGAGCCTAGTCACATGACCTATTTAAATCTAATTGGAAAAATACGCCTTCTCTGAGACTGTTTTGACTTGTGTCCAAATTAGATTCCAAACTACAGAAGACCAGTTTTTAAATTGTTGAATGAAGCCAAAGTTATGATAAATAGTATAAACAACTAAAAATAGGATTCAGACCAATTAATGATTTATCCTGATTAGAAACACAAATCAAGCCGGATCTCTAGCTGGACCTGCTTTTGTCAAAATGTATTTTAAAAAGCAGAGATCAGAAACTGAGTTTCGGTCATTTTGATGTGATGGTCAAGGATGATGTCATCCAGGATTATTGGACCAGCAGAGTCCTACATCAAGACAAGTCTTCGACAATGTTCTCGTTAAAACCTCCAGACCTGGTTTCCGCAGGTCCTACAGGTAAAAGAAGAGACGCTTCACTGGAAAACATGAACCTGGAGCAAGTTTAAAGAGCCTTTTTTGCTGCCATAAAATTTAAAATTACCTTATTTCCCCTAAAATTTCAATATTTGATAGATTCTCCTCTGGAGCTGTGGAGGCTCAGCTGTCTCACAATCCTGAGGCTGCAGGTTTGAGCTCCGGCTGCATCAAAAAATACGAATCAGCTAGTKTTTCTTGTAAGAACTGCGCTAATAAAATATGCATTTATGAGTTCTGCAAATAATCACAACCTGATTTTTATTTACATTTTACAAAACGAACAAACTCAGGTTGAGTTTCGGAAGATTGAAAAACCCGAACAAACAACACAGGASCACACAGACTTTGTCAAAGTTATTATTGTAGAATACTTTGATGTATTTTTTTTCTTTCATACAGACAAAAGTTGTTGGACTTATTTCCCATTAAATTCTCTTAGATTTCAATACAGATTTAGTCTACAGTATACAGGTGTGTTCTTCCTCATATATAGATATTTATTCGCTTAAATAACAGGCAGGTAACTCTTTAATATATTCAATAATCTTTTATATTTTTTGCTTTTTTAAATTTTTTGTTCGGTTTTTTTAAAACTTTTTTTAGTCTTTTTGTTTGTTTTAATTTCAGCACGGTTAAGGCTGCGTTTTCTGTCAGCGGAACAGCGCCGTGTATATTTATAGCAGTATGTAAAAATGAAATCATGAAAAAAGTTAACTCTCGGATAAGGTGGCAGTAAAAACACCCTGTGGCAGATCTAAAAGAGCAGCCTAAACAGTGCGAGGGGGCACTGCCACTTCTGCAGTCTCTAGCTCTGCGGCGACCCCCCATAACCCCCCAAATATTAGTTACTTTGTATGAGGTACAATCCTGTCACCTGTTGGTTATTTACAGAGCGGCGTCTCCGGGTCTTAAAGGACTCCAGGTTTGTCCGCACGCCTCAGGGCCTGTTGGGACGGAGAGAAAACGCAGCCCTCAGAATATGCTCAGGAGAATGTGCAACTGTCTTTTTTTTCCATCAGTGGGAGCACCGGTGGAGGAAAAAAACTCAAGAATTAATAATAATAATAATAATATACAAGCGCTTCCATTTTTGTTGTTCCTCTCTTTACAAAAAGCAAATAGGAATAAAACGAAAGAAACATAAAAAAAGTGTCACAGGAACATAGTACCTGTAAAATCAAAGATGCACGTGTGCACGTTTTCGGAGCGATCTGTACAGTCGTGGTGCAGTTGTACACTTTTTATAATTTTTCGATAAATATATTCTTTTTCACATTTGTGTTTCGCCTTCTGTGAAACGGGTAATGTGGAGGGACGGAGACGTCTGGAGCTGCAAAATATACACCACTGCAGATGATTGCCCCTGTCGTTTAGTGTGTGTGTGTGTTTCCTACAGATGTGTGTGCGATGAAGAGGAAGATAGCAGATGTGGAGAGAGAGAGAACATCACACAGAAGTGACAGTAGCCTAAATGAGTTACCAACACATAAAGAGTGACATTAATGATACCAAATGCATGCGTTAAAACAGACAGACCGATACACGGTCGCCGCCCCGCTGCGACGACGACGACGATGAGCGTCAGAGAAGACGAAGAGTTCTGTACAGGTGTGCGAGGATGGGGGGTTCCCAGAGAGCCCTGCAAACATCCTGAAACGAGTGGCAGGACAGACGTGTGGCTCGCTGTGTTCGGGCGTGTCAACACGGCAGTCTGTTGCATATCGTCTGCCTTCCTCTGAGGGGCCGGTCTGTAGGGGGTCAGGGGTCAGACACTGGGAGGAGGGTTTGCATTGTTCTGAGTGACATCGATTTACCCACACCTGATGCAACATGGGGGTGGCTCGGCTCGCTCACCTGGTCTGGAATGTTATGATCTGCGGGAATGTAAACCAGCTCTGATGTATGAAAATTACCCCCGCTCAAACAAAACGCCGTTTAGTTTATGTCTGGATGAGAACGCTGACCAGGCAGCCGTTTCAGGAAACGCYCTTAAAGTTCATTGAAATGTTTAATTTAAACGTAACGTTTTCCTGCTTCTATCCGCTCCAACGGGAACAAAAATGTAATTGTTTAGTAGAATAATTACGAAAAAACATTAAAATTTGCCAACTTTGGCTCAACTATTTTCAAATTTTTGAGTTGGAAAAGTCTAGTAGGCGGAGCTTCGTCTGAGCTGACCAATCCAAAAGTTTTTTTTTCTTTTGTAAACTTCTCTTTATGCGTAAATATTCAGCCGAAAACACTGTCAGTTTTTTTGTTTATGTAAAAGTCAACTCATGGATTGTTTGATAAGAATCTCCAATAAGTACATAAAAAATAAAATTTTCTTGACTTTAACTGATTAATCAATAAACAACTTGATTAATGAGCTTTAAAGTTGTTGGGTCGTTATGGTGCCAATCAGTGGTGGGCACAGCTAACCAAAACGTTAGCTTCACTAACCACTAACCCACTAAATAAGGATCTTAGCGCTGATAATGCTAATCACGAACCTGTTGCTAGTTTTCTATTGGGTAAATTTGAAGGTGGGTGGGATCATCTGTTTCAAATCAGCCAATCCAAACCAGAGTTATAGCTCTGTATAACTTGTGACACTTCCAGAATAAAAGCATGTCTTTGATCAAGTTCATGTTTTATAAATACAGTTTGAAGTTAGACAAACAACAAAAACAAATACTTTCTCTACCATATTTTGTATGTAGTCAATTTTTGTATTCGTTTATTAAATATTGTTAAATGTGATTTTATGTCTTCGATGCTCTTAGTTTGAAGTTTAGCTGCTAAAGATGCTACATGCTACACACAGTGCCTGACATGTCCAGTGTTGCTTGTATGAGGAGATATTTTTTTGTTTAATTTGAGATAAACAGCAGTAAAAGGTTAGTTTAACTACGTGTGAATTTATTGTGGAATTTAATTGGTCCGCTAACAGTTTCCAAATCTGCTAAATTAGACGCTAGTTTTGGTTTTAGCATAACTGTGCCCACCACTGGCACCAATGATGTCATCCAACGTCCAGCAGGAAAGCTTTCCCAGGAGAACTTCCTGTTAGTTATGAGAAACACGTTGTGACATTGAGGGGCGGGACATGAGGACAGGTGAGCTCTCATTGGTTGTACCTGATAGTCCTGAGCGAGCTTTCAAACTGAACACTGCCGCGGATCGAGCAGGTGGCTGAGGATGACCGCGTTCAAACGAACTTCCTGGTTACGCGGCGGAGATGAGCCGATGGGCGGGAGCGAGGTGAGGGCAYGTTAGTCTTAAAGGGCCATCGTGCGTGTGATGGCGTTTAAAGGGTTAATGCTTCACTAGCTTCCAGCTTTTTTCCAAAAAAGAAAAAAGGCCCTCTAACAAAACGACTTAAGAGAGGAAGGGACGAAGAAGACAAAGGAACATGAAGAGACGGGGACGCAACAGAAACACCCAAACATGTGTGTTTGCCTCTCACACACTCTGATGGCAACAGAGAACAGGTCTGGGTGGACCCGGGCCAGGAAAATCCCCGGTGATGAACATGAAGAGCTCAGTGCTGTGGCTTCCTAAAAACATTCAACCTGATGCCTCCATCTTTCAGTTCGCCGGCAGTTCTACCAACTATTGAATTGAAATTAATGTCGTTTCTGTTTTTGTCACTTTTTTTTTGTTTGTTTTTTCTTTAGATGAGACGAGACAGAACACGTTCACAGACTGAAAAAGAAGAGCGGACCTTAGGAAACAAATGAGCGATGTTCTTTTTTTGGGGGGGTGGGGGGGTTCTGACAAAATTAATTTCACAGGTATCGCGAGCGGAGGAGCGACGTTAAAGTGGCTGCAGTCAGGTAGGTGGTGGTGACAGTGCAAGGCGGCCCCCCCGATGCGTTGAGGGATGTTCGGGTGCCGGCTCCGCCCGTCTTCGAGAGGAATGAGCGAGCGCGAGGTCGGAGCAAAGCCTGGTGGGGTGAACGGAGGAAGGGGGGCGGGGGGAGTTGGGCTGGAGGAGGGCAAATGGAGGAAAAAGTTGCAGTCATGAGTCTCCGATCATTGTTCCCTCGCCTGCCTCCTTCGTCCTTTGCTCCGTCCTGTGAGCGTGGCGTGAGGCAGGCTGGATGAAAATGTCACCGTGTGTCCTCAGCCCTTATCTCCCCCCCACTCCACCGTTCCATCATCCTTTTGGCCTGACCTGGTTATAAGGAGGTCTCCACGCAGAAGAGATGCGCCGGGTGAGGGGCGGGGAGTTTCAGTGGCCGGTCTCTGCCATGGTGATGATGATGATGATGATGGTGGTGTTTGTGATGGCGGCTCTGGCTCGGGTCTTTACTGATGCTGTGTTTGTTGCTGACGGCGGTGTCGCTGCTGCTGCTGTTGTTGTTGTTGTTTCGGTTGCACGGTGTCACCGGGAGGCTGTGCTGGCGGTAAGGACGGGTGGGCCGGGTGCGGGCCGGGGGCTGAGCGGGTGGAGGGGGCGGCTTGCGGAGGGCCGGGTGCAGGTGCTGGTATCGGCTGAGCTCTGATTCGTCGTCCACGTCGGTGTCGTCAATCAGCGGGATGTTGTGGATGAGGTCGTTGATGAGGAACTCTGGGTGGGCCATGAAGTTGTGGATGGAGTTGCGGGATTCTGGTTTCTCGCAGCCCTCGTACAGCGAACTACGGAATGCTTTCACCACTCGCATCTGATGAGATAGAGGAGGACGAGAGGGACGACAAGGACACAAAAAGAGGAAGTTAATAAATGTCAAACGGAAAGAAGAGACAAGGGAATCCCAGAAACAGACAGACTTGTGTCCTCCAGAAGACAAACGGTGAAAGACAGACAGACAGACACTCAGGACCAGGTGGAGACAAGTTATTGATTATTTTGTGTGGCAGACATGGTGATGATGTCGTTTCACAGATTTAAATCAAATAAATTATTGGGAACAAAAGGAATCATTTGTAAGATTTTGCTATTTCTTTTTTATGCAAAGAGCACCTACCTGTCTGTCTGTCTAAATATATCTATTGAGCAACCTACCTACCCACCTATCCGTCCATCCGTCTGTCTATCTACCTGTCAATTGACCAACCAACTTAACCACCCACCCACCTAACTATCTATCATCTATATTTCTGTCTACCTACCCACCCACCCATCTGTCTGTCTTTCAATTGACCGACCAACTTAAACACTCACCTAACTACCTATCATCTATATTTCTATCCATCTACCCACCCACTCACCCATCTGTCTTTCTACTGACCAACCAACTTAACCACCCACCCACCTACCTACCTACCTACCTATCCATCTACACTACCTGTCTGTCTGTCTATCAAGCAACCCACCCATCTATCTTTCTTTCTATCTAACTACCACACACCTGTCTATAGACCGACCAACCTACCTACCCATCTGTCWGTCTTTCTATTGACCGACTAACTTACCCACCTACCTAACTACCTGTCTGTCTGTCTATTGAGCAACCTAACTACCTAACAACCTGTCTGTCTGTCTACTGACTGATCAACCTATCCACCCATCTGTCTTTCTATTGATCAACCAACTTAACCACCCACCTACCTACAGTGGTTTGCAAAAGTATTCATACCCCTTGAACTTTTCCATATTTTGTCACATTACAACCACAAACATAAATATAT